TTTTTCTTTTCTCCACAGCTTGACATTAGCGATATATTACCACATAAAGAACAGATGAGTTTAAACCTGCCTTGTTATTCTAGTTAATAAACATATAAGATATAAAGTTAATGTTAGGTTTTAACTATAGACATTATTGGAGTAAGCTATAGTGCTTTTATTATATTACTGGAGGCCTGATTCAAGGGCTTTGGCCCTACAACCGTTGCATTGGTTTTAACCCCCCACCCACCATGGCTTTGTTTGGAAAGACATCTGGTCTAATTAGCATATTATGCATTTATTATTATAGATTGAGGTGAATCCCTTGTTTTTGTCTTAGGACTCTTAATGTTTAAGTTATTGAGGAATCCAAAGAATATTTGTTCATTAGGGCTATATTGGTATTTACTATATCAGGAATTAAAATTGAGAATTTAAAAGTAAGTCCCTTGTATGTTAACACATAACTGCTCATTAAAATTGTATTTAAGTTTGAGCAGGACACTTTGTTGTGGGGCATTGCCTTGTGCGTTCTTTGTCTTTTAGCAAAATTAGGAAAAACAAAATGCTAAGGTATATTCAAAAAGAAGACTTGTTTCCGGTGATTATTATAATATATGTTACTAAACAATTCTCCTGTCATTTCCCCTTCTACCCATAGAACATGGTTTTTATAGCACTGTTGAAATGTTGAGTGGGATACTTCTTTGTTGTCTAGTTTGTTGGAGTAGAGGTGCCCCTAGTATTTTTTAATGATCCTTTGTGTTTCTGTGGGGTCTGTCGTTATTTCTCCTCTCTCATTTCTGATTTTGTTTATTTGAGTCCTCTCTCTTGGCTCCTTGGTGAGCCTGGCTAGAGGTTCATCAATCTTGTTTATCCTTTCAAAGAACCAGCTCTTGGGATGTGAGGGCGATCTGGCTGCAACATCTGTCACCCCATTGATCGCCAGGGTTGATTCGGCTGATCTGGCTGGCTAGGCGGGTGTCCCCCTCCTCCCTCACCGATCCATGTGCGTCCTTCCCGAAGCTGCACACTCGGTCGAAGAGGACAACTTTCCCCCAAGAGGAGAGGACCGGTCTTCGGTCAAGGGTATACGAGTAGCTGCGCTCCCCTGCTAGAACCTCCAAACAAGCTCTCAAAGAACCAGCTCTTGGTTTTATTGATCTTTTGTTATTGTTTTTTGTTGTGTGTGTGGGTTTTTGTTTGTTTGTTTGTTTGTTTTTGTCTCTATGTCTTTTATTTCTGCCCTGATCTTTATTATCTTCCTTCTTGTCCTCATTCTCTGCTTTTCTTACTGCGCTCTTTCTAATCTTTGAGTTGTAGAGTTAGATGATTTACTACCATTTTTTTCTTGCCTTTTGGGTAGGCCTGCAGAGCTATCAACTTCCCTCTCAGGACTGCTTTCATTGTGTTCCATAGATTTTGGATTGTTGTTTATTTGTTGACATTAGTTTCCAGGATACTTTTAATTTCTTCTTTGATCTCTTTGGTAACCTGGACATTATATAATAGCATGCTATTCAGTTTCCAAGTGTTTGAGATTTTTGGATTGTTTTTATTGAAGTTTATTTCTAATTTTATGGCATTGTGGTCTAAGAAGATGCTTGGTATGATTCCAATCTTCTTGAATTTGGGGAGACTTTGCTTGTGACCCACTTTGCTTGTGGTCTATTTTTGAAAATGTCCCAAGTGCATTTGAGAAGAACATATATTCCATGGCTTTGGTATGCAATGTTCTGAAGATGTCAGTTAAGTCCATCTGAGCTAGGGAGTCATTTAGGATTGCTTTATCTTTGCTGACATTTTTGTCTAGATGATTTATCCAGTGATGTCAATGGAGTATTAAATACTATGACTGTATTGTTGTTGATCTCTCTCTTGATATCTTCCAGATTTTTTTATGCATTTGGGTTCTCCTGTATTGGGTGCATGTATATTTACCAGAGTTACATCCTCTTGTATCTATCTCTTTAGTATTATGAAGTGGCCATCCTTATCGTTTGTTATGGCCTTCACTTTGAGCTCTATTTTGTCTGATATAAGTATTGCTACTCCATTTTTCTTTTTTTCATTTCCATTAGCCTGAAAAATATTTTTCCATCCCTTTACTTTCAGTTTGTTTTTAGGTAGGTCTCTTGTAAACAGCATATGTTTCAGTCACATTTTCATATCAATTTTGCCACTTTATGTATTTTTATTGAAGCATTTAGTGCTTTTATGTTTAAGGTTATTATTGATAGTCACTAGTTTGTAGCCATTTTTATTCTTTAAGCCTATATTCCTTTTTCCCTTTCTATTTCTTCTTTTTATAATAGTCCATTTAGGATTTCTTGCATTGATGGTTTGGTAGTGATAAACACACTGAACCTTTTTTGTCTGCAAAACTCCTGCTTTACCCTTCAAATTTGAATGATAGCCTTTCTGGATAGTGTATTCTTGGATTCAGTTCCTTGCTTTGCATCACTTTGTATACTTGTTTCCATTCCTTTCTGGCCTGATGCATTTCTGTTGAGAACTCATTTGATAATCTAATGGGAGAAGCTTTGTAGGTAACTCTCTGTCTCTCTCTTGCAGCCTTTAAGATTCTTTTTGTTGTTGTTGTTGGTAATATTTGCCATTGTAATTATGACATATCTTGGTGTGAGTCTTTTTGGGTTCATCTTGTTTGGGCCTCTGTGCTTGTGTGACTTTTTCTTCCCCAAATCACGGAAGTTTTCTGTCATTATTTCTTCAAATATGTTTTCTAATCCTTGTTCTTCTTCTTGTCCTTCTGGCACCCCAATTGTACATATGCTAATTTGTTTCATGTTGCTCCAAAGCTCCCTTAGGCTTTCCTGCTTTCTAATTTTTTCCTCTAATTGCTGTTCAGATTGGGTGGTTTTTCTGCCCTATCTTACAACTCACTAATTCAGTTCTATGCTTCGTCTCATCTATTGTTGAATCCTCCCATTTTGTTTTTTATTGTACCTATATCATTTTTATTTCCTCTTGATTCTTAAAAATGTTGTTGATTTTCTTATCCTTATTCTGAATTATTTTTCTGACATTTTTCATGCCTCTGTTTCATTTAATTCCTTTTCTGGCAATTCCTCCTTTCTTTCCTTGGGAAGTTGTTTGTTCCCCATTTTTTGCTGTCTCTTTCTGGCTCTGGGGATTTTTCTTGGGGTTTGAGAGGTTGAAGACACTATTAGGGCAATGGTCTGGAAATCATTACCCAGGGGTTGGGTCTGCCTTGAGTTGCACACCATTATTGTCTCTGCTCTGAGTTGTAAACCCCTCTCCTACAGATCTGGGTCCTCATTTGTCTACTTCAAATGCTTAGGGTGGTGGAAGTGCATGCACAGGACCCAGAGCTCTCTGGCATGCATTTCCTTCTGTGGCCCCAGCACTTGTGGCAGGGTGGCACCCTAGATTCCTCTGGCAGCGCACTTACAACAGAGTCTTGTGGCCCCTGGATGGGCACACCAGTTTTCTTTGGGTCATCCTGGAAATGTTCTTCTATATCCTGGGGCTGGGGAAAATCAGGTGCAGGTTGCTCTGAGTTGCACAGTCAGAGCTCCCCTGTGGCCTGAGTGGGGTGCACAATAAGACCCTGGGCTCAGGGTGGAATGGGCATTGGTTGCTCTGGTTCACACAGTTCTTGCTTTCTTGTAGCCTGGAGTGAGACGTGCTCTGGGTTGCTCCAGTTCACCCCTCCCTAGTGTGGAGCAAGGGCAGATTGGTTTGGTCACTCAGTCCACAGGCTCCTGTCTCCTAGAGTAAGGTGCACATTGGATTGCTCTCAGTCACCCCTCCCAGGCTGGGGTGGAGCAGGCACTAGTTGCTCTGGGTTGCAGTCAATGCTCACTTGTGGCCCAGAGTAGGGCATGCTCTGCGTTTCTCTGAGTCACCACAGCAGTAGGTCCCACAGGTCCCAGGGCTTGGGTTTCAGCAGGTACCAGGTGGATCTGGGTCAGGCTAGCAGCATGGTTCTAAGGTTCTTGGCTGGGGTGGAGCATAGGGTTCCCACTGACTTACACTCACTTTGGGGTCTTGGAACTAGAATACTGGTTCCCAGTAGCTGGTGAGGAGGTTTGGTGTGGGAGCTCATCCTGGCAGTGAGTGCACCTTGCAGACACTTGGGAGCCTGTCAGGAAGTACTGCACCACTCACTGCTGGGCATTGTGGGGTTCCACGTGGGTTATGGCTGGCAAGTGGTATTTTGTCCTCTGCCCTTCCTTTTTGAAAATTGTTTCCTCAGCTATGTCTAATTTGTTAATTCATTGTGGATATTCTCCAATTTAGTTGCTTTTCTGGTCTGGCCATAGGAGGAGGTACACAACCCTGCTGCCTATTCTGCAGCCATTTTCTCCCCCCTTCCATTCATTAACTCTTAAGTGTTGCCTGTTCTTATTTTATAACATGAATGAATATATGTTGTTGAGCCCTTTGAATGTTACATTACTTTAATTTTTAATTTTAAAACTTTTGGATTATAAGTTGAGAGCTTAAACCAAGAGAGGTGACAGTGGACACTAAAAGACCAGGAAGGATAAAAGGTAGCAGTCAGATTAACTGGATGAGAAACAAAGGTTAAAAGAAAGGTCATTGGGACCTGGAGTGGGAAGTGGTTTCAGGAGCCTGGGACAAGGTGTGGTCATAGTGTCTACGAGGGGACAGGTTGAAAGCCAGGCCTCTGGCTCTAGAATTGTTGGTTCAGTCACTCCTGGAGTTTTCTTTCTCTGCAACCATAGATCCTTGGAGGCCAGAAGAAGTTAGCTAGCTATTTTCCAACATCACATTATATGTTGTGATTTGAGGTTTGGTTTGACTGAGGTTGGTTTTGTGTTGGTTTAAGAGAGAATTTTTTTTTTTTTTACTAGGCCCCGTGGACTGGTTTCCCCAGCTCTGAATGCTCAAGCCTCAAGAGAGAGGAACTCTGCCCTTTGGGGGCCCCACATTCTGACCTGGAACTCCAAAACAGTGGGGCCTTGGAAACAAGGAGGTACTAGGCATTCCAGGTGCAGTCTGGACAAAGGATGAGGAGGGCGGAGGCCCAGGCCTTCTATGGAGAGTTAACTCAGCACCCACTCCAAGGTTGCCACCAAGAAGGACAACAGCAGCAGCAGCAGCCTTCCCGAGGACAGGCAGCCAGCCATCAGTACAGAAATGTGAGTGGCAGGAGGCCTGGTGTCCTTGTGTTCCATTGGTGTGACAGGTAGAGCCACAAACAGATCCCATGGTATAACTGTGGTTCAGGATGTCTTCAGGGCTAATCTGGCAGGTCAGCACTCTTCAACCCTGACTGTACAACTCTTTACTTCCTTTAGTTAAAGTAGGGGTGGATAGGCCTAACTAAAGCAATAAAGCCTAAAATGAAAGAAATTGATCTATTGCTCCTGACAGGGTGTGCACAAAGCCCACTTCCCTGGTGTCAATGCTGCTGCACTACTGGATCTGCCTCTTGAGGTCAAGCTGCCCGTGATCCCTGGGAGCAATAATTTATACTATACGACGAAGTTAAATAAAAAGGTAATTTTTGCTTTGACATTGGTTGTCTTTGCCCATTTCTACTTGTTCTTAAAGTTGGGTGCTACATTATATAAAATCCATTGAAGGAATTCACATTACCATTCACAGAAAAAAAAAAATCAACTCAAACCCACATCTCATCCAAGGTATTGTTGAGGATTCATTCCAAGCAACTTCATCTAGTATGTCTCACAGAAAATAATGAAATAGAAAGTTTTTATTCTTTTCTCTTAAGTTTTGGAAGCATATTAATTTTTCTTTGTAACAATGCAATATATACTTAGTTAAAATATTTACATAGAAGTAAATATTTTTGCTTGAAGGGTGGAAAATTAATGGTGCTGGCTGGCATTTAATTATTTTATGATTTTAACCAATAACGTATACAAAACTGTCATTATAGAAACTTCTCTAGATTCTGTTTGGAGAGAAATTTCATTTCATACACAATAGCATAAAATGGAACTGAAATGAGCTAACATGTTTAGTTAATTTAACTTTACTTTAATAGACAAAGGCTCTGCCCTAGCCAGTTTGGCTTAGTGGATAGAGCGTAGGCCTTCAGACTGAAAGGTCCTGGGTTTGATTCTGGTCAAGGGCTAATGCCTAGTTTGTGGGCTTGATCCCCAGCAGGCGTAGTGCAGGAGATGTTTCTATCTCTCTCTCCTTATCCCTTCCTCTTTGAAATCAATAAAAATATATTTTTAAAATTAGAAGAAAGCTCTGCCCTCCCAAAGAGAGTCCTTGATTTCCCCTACCTTCCTGTCTAGTCTTTACTCCCATCCAAAAACTCAGCTTCCTCCAATTGTGGTCTTTTATACCTACCCACACATACCATGTTAATGCTCTGTGCCTTTATTCACCTTCCCCAAAACCTGGCATACCCATCTCCTCAGTCTATGAATTATAAACATCTTTCAAGATTTTTTTTCTGAAGTCTCATAGCCTCCAGTGAGCTTATCTTTCCTTGAAATTTGCACTGCCCTTGGTTTGTTTAATTTTACTCAACACTGCAATTCTATAATTACAGTTTTATAACTTAAATCATACTGGGCTATAGTGTGTACTTCCCTCAAATCCTTTCTTGCTTTTAGTCCTCAATGCTATACCCACCCTCAAACCTCCTCAGCCCTTTACTTAATCACTAACACTGAAGCAGGTTTAGTACAATCTTAAAAAAAAAAAAAGCCATATATTTTTATTGATTTCAGACCAGAAGGGAGAGGGAAAGAAAGATAGAAGCATGAATGATGAGAATCATTGATTGGCTGCCTCCTGTATGCCCCACATTGAGGATCATGTCTGCAACTTAGGGATGTGCCCTGACCAGGAATGGAACCATGATCTTCTGGTTCATAGGTTGACACTCAACTACTGAAACACCCTGGCCAGGACAGTATATTCTTTGAGTGTTTCTTTGGTTAATATTGCCAAAAATTCTACATGGAAGAATTCCTCCTACTCTCTGTAATGTTAGAAATGAATAGGGTGCCTTGCTATTTGATACTTGCCAAGTAACATTATTTTTTAAAGTAAGTTTTGCTTCTGGGAAATATTTGGTTCTAAAATCAAATCTAACTTAGATCAAGCTGACTAAAACCATACCTACCTTGTACAATTTAACTGGGTCACATTCACAGAAACTAGCTTTCCTACAGCATGCTTGCCACCTATTCCTATACTACTCTTCTTTTGTGTCTAAACTTAGCCCTGTATTTCTTTTGCCTGCTTCCTCAAGTATACTGTTTCTTATATTACCATTTTCTGTCACAAATTAATTTGCTTGTCAACTTTTTTTTAAAAAGCATTCTTATTACATTCATTTCTCCCAAATTGTCTTCATTTAATTATATTAGGCACCAAGCTATTACCTTGAAGACTGTATGTGAGAGCTTTCCTTTTCTTTTCCTAAAAGCTCCTCAATAAAGTAATGCTTTATATTTACAGTTTTAGTGTGTGTGTTTTTCCAAAATAATACAAACCAATTATTTTAATTGACAACAAAAGGGTCATCCTGGTCCAATGAATGAATTTTTTTTTCTTGTTGTTAATCCTCACCTGAGAATATTTTTCCATTGATTTTTAGAGTGGAAGGGAGGGGGACCTACAGAAACATTGATGTGAGAGAGACACATTGATTGGTTGCCTCTCACACATGCCCTGACCAGGGCCAGGAATCTAGCCTGCAACCAACGTACTTGCCCATGACCAGAATCTGGACCCTTCAATGTGTGGACCAAAGCTCTATCCACTGAGCAAAACCAGCTAGGGCATGAATGGATTTGTTTAAGGTGTGCTTCATTTATAGGTCTGTAGCCCAGGTTTGATCTTCAGAAACATTACAAATAAAAGTCACTATCTAAATGTCAACCTCTAAAAGAAACAGTCAGACCAATCCTGGACTCATGACTGTTGGTTGCTTATCTGGCTTCGCTGAACTCAAGACATTGCCCCATAGAATTCCTTTCTCTTTCTTCTCAGGGAAGCACTATTTTGCCTTCCAGTAGGAAAGTATAGTGTCAGTCACCAGTGACTACTGGGCACTTAACGTGTTAAGGAATGATTATACTTTGTGATCTAGGCCCCTTGGAAGAGGTTAAAACCTAGAGTTGAGCCTGAGAACAGAAACTTTCCAAGGAAGCTTTAAATGGAAAGGAAAGCTAGCATCCTACCAGTTCCCACCAATCTGCCCTTTTGCCCACATGAGAAGCAGCCTCCCACCTACATTAAGGGAGTTCCTTCAGGATCCCACCCAGCCAGGCTGCTTAGTGTTCAGCACATGACTGACGTGGCTGCTGCCAGACAGAACAACACTGGTCCCTGCAGACAGGTTAGGACTGTGGAGTCTTATACAATGAATTGGGGGCCTGCAAGCAAGACAAGTGCTCTCAGGTTTGCCACATCCCCACACATTCCAGCCTCCTTTCTCTTGGGCCAGTTCCTGCTTCTATTACTTTAGACTTAACTTTCTGTTTTCCTGAAAAGAAACAGGTAAATGAAAACAAACATAATGTAAAGACATTAGGACAAAGTCCACACCTACTTTTGTCCTCCACTTTTTTCTTTTCACAGGTTCTCAATAAGGCATTAACACCATCCTGTTATTGAAAGTGGACTAAGAACTCACACCAAACAAACAACAAAAACAAGCAAACAAACAAAAATTCTCCCTCTTTGGTAATATTTCAATTTATAAATGAGATTAAGTAACAGCTGTTTCCTCTAAAACAGGAGTGGGGAACATCTGGCCTGTGGGCCCCATAAGGCCTAAAAATTATTTGATTTGGCCCTGCCTAGGCATTAGGGGTGAGTTAATTAAATGTTTGACCAAATATTGTAGGCTAATTTTTAAGTTGATAATTTTATATGGCCTGAAAATGATGCTATAAATATCTAAATGGCCTTTAGCAGAAAAAGAGTTCCCTATTCCTGCAAAATAATACATATAGAAACATGATTATTAGCTGGTATTTTTCTTCTTTTAAATGCTAATGCCTATAGCACAAGGTTGTACATGGTTTTTCATATATGGAAAAATTCCTGATAATATCCTTTATAACTGATTCTTCAGCATATTGAACTTTATAAGTCAGATCTTCAAATTTTTCCTGACTAATAGTACTCAGAGATTATTGTGTGTTTTTTGTTTGTTTGTTTGTTTGTTTATTTGTTTTGTAGTAGATAAGACCCCAAGACACAATAACTCTTTAATCCATCATCTTTAACATCTGAGTTTTACTTCTATCTTTTAGACAAACTTGTTTCCATGCATCTTGGAAAAAGATTCTCCACTTCATTTTTAGATTATTGTGATATAATAGTTATAATTAACATTATCTCTTTTTACTTTGAATGCAATGCCTTGACCTGGAAGAAGGAGGAAGAAAATGGAGAACTTAGCATTAGCTTTGTGCATTAAAACATATTTTATCCTAGTCTCTTTCATTTCCTCTCTTCCTTTCTTCTCTGGCTCAGGGGCAGAGACTGGTGGAGATTGGTGCAGGAATTAAGTGAGGGTGGATTTTTAGAATAATTCAGGTCAGGTGTATTGTGTGTGTATGTGGGGGGGGGGGGAGGGTAGGAATAACCAATTAGCATTAAATAACACAAATCTTTCTGTTGCTGGTTTCCCAATGTCAAATTCTTCTTGCATGCTATATTTTGGATGAACATTCTAGTCATTTTCAAAATTTACATTTGTCATCTTTTTAAATCTGTATTTGCAGCTTTTTCAACCTTCTTATGGTTTTAATCTGACTGATCCTTATTGTCGACTTTTGGACACCCAATATAATAGTCTCCATGATCCACACTTAAGAACGTACCATTCACGTGAAGATATCCGGAGGAGATTAAGGAAAGGAGGCTACATCACCCGCAATAATGAAGTGGGTTGAAGATTACTTCCTTTTAATCATTGAAGACTTCCAAGACTTGATATAAATTGGTTTCTGTACTTCATTGAGATGGGGGTGGGGTTCACCTTTAACTTGGTCATGAGAAATACTTAATTAGAAATTCCATAAATTACTTAGTATTTTGGGTCAAGGGAAATCAGACAACAATTGTGTTCTAAATGATATCACTTCTTTTACCTTTTTTTGTTTATAATATCAAAAGATGATTACCAAGTAATTTGAGAATATAAAAATAATTTTCCTATTTTATCATAGTTCTCTTTGTCTCCAGTAATTTTGTATGCTTGTCAAGGATTATGCCTTATAAAATTTTTAAAATCTAAAGACAAACTAGGAACACAGCAATATTAGCCTGATACAATCTTGATAGAATAAGAACACTCTTATATTCTAATTTGTGTTGAACATTATTATTACATTGTTATTTTATTCTAATAACTCCAATTGTGTGTACTAAATTCATAAGTAGTATTTTTAAAAAGTAATGAGTCTTGGATAGAAATGCCCTGTTGTTTAATGATTATAGAGATATACTACTTACAAAATGGTTAGCAATTTATTACTCTTGTTACCAAAATGTTATCAAATTTTATATTATTACTATTTTTCCTCCATAAAGTGATTGCTATGATTTTTAAATGTTTACAGTTGTTCTGTTTTGTTTAGGTTATATGTAGCTTGAAGGAGTTTAACCAGTACAGGCAATATCTTACAAGTCTGAAATTAGACTTCGAAAGGCACTACTTCAAAGAACAAGTATGTTAAATACTTAAATTTGTTTTCTTACGTAAGGTTTGGAAGAAAGATTTACTTGTATTAAAAATATTTTTTCCAAATGTAAATTTAGAGCAGGAATAAAGAATAATTTGAGGTGACTTCATTAAGCCAGGTCATTGTATTAATGTCAGTGGTAGTTTGCATAATTTAGTAGCTAAATTGCTACTCCAATGTGTTTCTTCTGTCTGAGTTGGAGCCAATAGGAAGAGTCTATTATGGCAGCAAGATTCAGAAGCAAAAACAGCTTGAGTAACAGAAGAGGAACCATGTGAATATTTTTAATATCCTACTGGTGACTCAAGAACATGTACACTGTGTCTTTGTACTCATACATGTGCAGCTGTGTTCATCCAGTACTAAATCCTATCTAATAAAATAATAATATGCAAATTGGCTGTTACTCCAACATACGATGTCTGCCCTCCTGTGGACACAAATGGCCACCACAAGATGTTTGGCAAGGGAGGGCAGTTGTGGGCGATTAGGACAGCAGGAGAGGACAGTTAGGGGTGACCAGGTGGCAGGGAAGGGAAGTTGGGAGGGACCAGGCCTGCAGGGAAAAGCAATTTTGGGGGGACCATGTTTGCAGAGGAAGGCAGTTGAGGGGGACCAGGCCTGCAGGGGAAGACAGTTAGGGATGACCAGGCCTGCAGGGGAGGACAGTTGGAGATGACTAAGCTGGCAAGGCAGGGCAATTAAGGGTTATCAGGCCAGTAGGGGAGAGCAGTTGGGGTGACCAGGCTTGCAGGGGAGGGCAGTTAGGTGCAATCGGGCTCACATCAGAGCAGTTAGGTGTCTATTAAGCTGGCAGGGGAGAGGTTAGGGGGTGATCAGGCTGGCAGGCAGAAGCAGTTAAGGGCAATCAGGCAGGCAGGCAAGTGAATTGTTGGGAGCCAGCTGTTCTAGATTGTGAGAGGGACATCCCTCAAAGTGGTCCCAGATTGGAAAGGGTGCAGGCTAGGCTGAGGGACACCCTCCTCCCCCATGCATGAATTTCATGCACTGGACCTCTAGTTTTCTTATAATGGTAAAGTGGAATGATTAGGTATATAGAAAGAGGGTATAAATAGTGACTTCCTTTCAATTAAAAAAAAAATTTTTTTTTAAGGAGTTTTATTGATTTTTGAGAGAGAAGAGAGAAACATTGATGTGAGAGCTCACCATGAATTGGCTGTCTCCTGTGTGTCCCCTCTTGGGATTTAGCCCATAACCTGGGCATATGCCCTGATTGGAAATACTCTGACTGGAATACAACCAGCAACCTCTTGGTGCATGGGGCAATGCCCAAGCAACTGAGCCACACTGGCCAGGCTTCTTTCAAGTTTTGACTCAAAGTTAGTGTCATGCATACATCATGTCTATGCATGATTTTGGGTTTTAGGTTCGAGAAAGGTATGTGTATGTATACTTTTACACATTTATGTTCTTGTAGAGGCCCAGTGCACAAAATTTGTGCACCTGGGGTTGGTCCCCTCAGCCTAGCCTTCACCCTCTGCAATCTGGGAGCCCAAGGGGGGTGTCTAACTGCTGGTTTAGATCCAATCCCTGGTATCAAGCCTAAATCGGCAGTCAGACATCCCTCTTGCAATCCAGGATTGCTGGCTTCTAACTACTCACCTCCCTGCCTGTCTGATCACCCCCAATTGCCTCCCCCTCTCAGCCTTATCACTCTTAACTGTCTCTTCCTGCTAGCCTGGTTGCCCCCAACTGCCCTACCCTGCTAGCCTGATCACACCTAACTGCCCCCCACCAGCCTGGTCACCCCCAACTTCCCCCTCTCTGCCAGCCTAGTCATCCCCAACTGCAACTCTCCCCACCCCCCGCCAGACTGGTCACACCACACAGCCTGCTGTTCAATCATTGGGTCATCCCTCACTAATCCCCCTGCCAGACAGGTCACTCCATGCATCCTGCCAGCCTGTTGTTTGGTCATTACTGTTACTGTAACATATCCCTCTATTGTTAGTATAGATGGTTGAGAGAGTGATATAGAAATGAGAATAAGTTACCTCATTTAAAATAAATCCTATAATCCCCACGCCCCCCCCCCATTCTCCATCTGTTTCTATAGCTTCTCCTATCCTTCTTCTATGTTTTTATATAATTTTTTTTTTCAGAATGGATGGAAATATATGGTGAGATATTTAGTTTTCATTTTCCAACAGAAATTTTTAATTTGGTTCAGTTAACCAGGTCCTATAATTGATTCAAAATAGATTCAAATGAAGTTAAACAGACTTAGTTATTTAGAAAGTACAGGAAGTTTACTAAACAGTAAATTAAAAAGGCATATCAAAGGACAGTTTTATTTCTGTGAATTTTTAAGACATTATATATGCATCTCTCTCTCTTTCTTTCTCTCTCTCTATGTATACATCCACATATGTATACTATATGTGCAATATGTGATACACACTTTTTTTAAAAATAGGAAATGCTTGCAAAACAAATAAATAAATTTCAAGTCAACAATCAACTACATAGACTTTCTGGTGCTGCACAGCCCCAAAACTGGTTTTTATGGGAGGATGTCCAATCTTTTAAGGACCAGGAGCCATTAATAAGGCCCAGGTAAGATGGAAGTGACTATTTTATGTGTAGGTTGTAGGCTCAAATAAGTTGGGAAAGTACTAGAAAGATTTGAAGTTAGGAATTATTTAACATACTAGACACTATTTAACTTCACTCCTGCCCCTAGTATGGAGAGGAAGGGAGACCAAGAGGTACAGAAATTGGGAACTTGAATGCCAAGGGAAGGAAGAACAACTTCTACCAGAGACAACAGGGTTTCTGGGAGTCCAAAAGGTAATCCAAACTGATAAATAAAGGGCAAATTAGATCCAAATTCCTTCCTGTAGTTGGAAAGGGAGGGAAGGAATCCTTCAGCACAAGCCTTTAGGAGTAGCTTTGGATTCATTTTAAAAGGCTTGACAACATTAAATTTGAGGAAGTTCATACAAAGTCAAAAATGGAGGTTGATTAAACTATATCTAATACCAATATAGAGGTGCATTGTCCCTAAAAGAAAAAAAAAATCTAAACTCTTCAGATATTATCTGCTGATGTTCAGGGATTACCATTCCATGGTCAAGTCCATATTTTAGGAAATGAAGGGATATCATAGTTTTTTCTCCTCTTTCCTCCTTCATCAAGGTGAGTGATTGGGCTGCACAGCCTGACTTTTATTTTCAGTGAGTCCATTTTGTGGTAGTCCACAAGCATATTGACATACCAGAGACTGGGACTATCGTGGAAGATTTGTGGAAAGCTCTGTAGGTCACAGGGAGCCAGGATACATCTTTTTCTTAGAAAATTCAAATCTGATGGTTGTTCTAGATTTGAAATCAATTTTCACTTATTCCAGCCTTCTTTGCAATTTATATCCCTAAGCCCACTGAGTTACGAGTGTTTTTTTTTTATTTGTTTATGCTTTGTTTGTTAATGCAAATTGTTTTTTGTGTTTTGTTTTGTTTATGTTTTGTATTGTTAATCCTCAACAATGGATATTTTCTCCATTGATTTTCAGAGAGTGGAAGGAAACTGGAGAGACAGAGAGAGAAAAATCAATGTGAGAGAGACATTGATTAGTTGCCTCCCACACTTGCCCCAACCAGGACTGGGGACTGAACCTGCAGTGAAGGTATGAGCCCTGGACTGGAACCAAATTCATGTACCTTCAGTCCTCAGGTCAACGCTCTATCCGCTGAGACAAACTGGTTAGGGCTGTGCAAAATGTTTTTAAAGAACTTGCTCCACATTTTACCACAGTCTTGACCATAAGAACAGACACTGACAGAGTAGGGATATCTGTATAACCAAGCATGGTGAGAGCTGGCTTACAAATAATTGAATGGAGCTGAGAGAAAAACTGTAAAATTCATTTAGCTCAAGAAGTAAAAATTGAGCGAGTAGGTGATCTGGGCATTTCAAAGCAGCTGATGCCACTAGAAGGACAAGATGCAATTCACCTTGACTTGCATTTGCACTTTATTTAGATATGTGGACATGATAAGTAGGAAATTAGACCACCGTGAACGCACAGCAGAAGAGCAGCGCCTCCTCTGGATGGAAAAAGAAGAAAAACGACAGTGGGAACAAGCAAGAAAAAAACTCAGCCTTCTTAGAAAATTTGAAGAGGTGAGAGATATATTTAAAATGTGAAGAGAAAAATTGTGTGCAATGTTTTATTCATAAATAATTTTAACATAATTAGTTGTTTAGAGAGTACTGGAATTTTACTAAACACTAAATATAAAAAGGCATATCAAAGGATAGTTTTATTTCTGTAAATTAAAAAACATTCTTTATATGTATATATATGCACACATATACAGATATATGCATATATGATACATACTCTTTTTCACACTTCTTATAAGTCATTTCAGATCTAAATCATTTACCCATGTTAATCTTTCTTCAGGGCTATGATATATAATACAAGCTGACCCCACAATCTATTTATATGAGCCAATAGCTTCTCTTAAAGAGATGATCGTGGAAGTTACTAGACACCATCTAACTCCCTGATCACCCTCAGTGTGAGGGGGATACCTTTTTAATTTTAGCTTTAGTAAAAGATAAACATGCCATAAATAACCATGCCTGCACTCCTAGTAGGAATGCAGAAAGAAAAACCAATTTGACTTTCCCTATACTTGACCTAATTTCTGTTAGGCTCTTCACTTGTACTGATTTGCTTGTTGGTGGTGGGCAAAATACAAGGGGTTACTGTAAACACTAATCACAATAACACTGTTCTCTCCAGGAATGGAAGACAAAAGAGAAGTTGCTTCTGTCAGAAACTGTAAAGGGTGTCAACAGAGAAGCTGGGCTAGAGGAACAACTGCGCTTAAACAAAAGAGAGAGTGACAAGCAGGTAGAGTTAACTTTCACCTCTAATCTGGGCTGTTGGAGGAGAAGCTTTGCTAGTTTGGATTTTCAAAAGTACACTATACAAGATGACAATGGGACAGTTACCCCAAACGATATGCATTACTCAAACCTGAAAGTTATGGAAATGTTTACTATATTTTGGCCATATTTATATTCTGACTGTAATATAAAAAGTGATGCCCTATTCTTTAATATAACTACTTTTGACTTTATCTCACACCATACACTATACTTGTAATTCTTAAAGAAAAAACTAGACGCCCAGTGCATGAAATTTGTGCACCTGGGAGGGTGAGGTCCTTCAGCCTCGCCTGTGCCCTCTTGCAATCTGGGACCCCTTGGGGGATGACCGACTGCCAGTTTAGGCCTGATCCCTATAGTCAGACATTTGGCAGTTGGACATTCCTCTCACAATCTGGAACCGCTTGCCAGCTTGCTTTTTTTTTCTTTTTTAAATAAGTCTTTATTGCTCAGATTATTACAATTATTTCTTCTTTTTCCCCCCATAGCCCCCTTCTGCCTGGTTCCTGCCCCACCCTCTGCCCTTACCTCTACCCCCCCTGCTATTGTCCCCATCCATAGATGTACAATTTTAATCCAGTCTATTAAAATACACCCCTTTCCCCCTGATAGTTATCAATACACTCCCTTTCTTTGCCCCTGATTCTATTATATTCACCAGTTTATTCTGTTCCTTGGATTTTTAATTCACTTGATTTTTAGATTCACTTGTTGATATATATGTATTTGTTGATTATAATTTTTATCTCTTTTCTTCTTCTTCCTCTTCTAAAGAATACCTTTCAGCATTTCATATTATACTGGTTTGGTGGTGATGAACTTCAGCTTTTTCTTATCTGCCCTTCAATTCTGAATGATAACTTTGCTGGATACAGTAATCTTGGTTGTAGGTTCTTGCTATTCATCACTTTGAATATTTCTGGCCTGCATAGTTTCTGTTGAGAAATCAGCTGATAATCATAGGCGTGCTCCCTTATAGGTAACCAACTGCTTTTCTCTTGCTGCTTGTAAGATTCTCTCTGTCTTTTGCCCTTGGCATGTTAATTATGATGTGTCTTGGTGTGGTCCTCTTTGGATTTCTCTTGTTGGGGTTCTGTGTGCTTCCTGTACTTATAAGTCTATTTCTTTCACCAGGTGGGGAAAGTTTTCTGACATTATTTCTTCAAATAGGTTTTCAGTATCTTTCACTCTCTCTTCTTCTGGCACCCCCCTAATTCTGATGTTGGTATGCTTGAAGTTGTTCCAGAGGATCCTTAAACTATCTTCAACTTTCTGGATTCTCTTTTCTTCTTGCTTCTCCAGAGGAGTGTCCTTTGGTTCTTTGTATTCCAAATCTTTGGCTTGATTCTTGTGTTCCTCAAGTCTGCTGTTGGATCTCTGAATAATATTTTTTATTTCAGTCAGTTTATGTTTAATTTCCAGTTGGGTCTCATTAAATTTATAGGCCTTTTCTAGGAAATTCTTGAAAAACTTTATAACTGTGGTTTTGAACTCAGCCAGGCATTCGGCCGCTCTTCCTTTCTGCACACGAGCGTCTCCCTACCTCAGCGCTGTGAGGCTCCCAATTTGATCTGTAAGCCTCTCTTCTTCTTTGTAGTTGTAGATTTCTCATTCCACCAGCTTTCCTGTGGTTTTGGATGATGTCCATTCTGTCTTTTAGTTGTTGTTTTGAAATTGTTTTGTGAGGTGGTAGCTTAGGTGCTTACTTAGACCACCATCTTGGTTTCTCTGCTACTGATGTTTGCCTGCTTGCTCTTAACCACTCGCCTGCCTGGTCACTCCTAACTGCTTGCCTATCTGCCTGCTCAGTGTGTGTCACAGCAAGCAGTCATTCCAGTTGTTCCACTCTAAATATCGCTTAGGATTTTTTTATATATAGATGATATAACTAATTTTTTTCTTAGAATTAGAATTTATTGGAAAACGTTCTCAATTTTTACCTACCAGTTCAGAGTAAGTGCTTTTAGGTTTAAATAATATTGATATATATAATATTTTATGATTTAGAGCCTAAATTTGTTCTAAGATAAATCATTTGTAATCCCAGCACCTCCCTATTAACTTACTAGTACACACACACACACACACACACACACACACACACACACTTAATCCTAGTATATAAAAACAACCCTGGGTCATAATGACCAATAATGACTGAGGCTCAACCAACTGGAAATCAGTCCTGCAGTCAGCGCTGGGTTGCCAAAAAAACCAGCACTGACTGCTTCCACTGCAGGCTCGGTGCCCCAGCACTGACTGTTGAGGGTCTGTGAATCAGGGCCAGAGAGGGCTGAAGAGAGAAGCCAGGATTGATCCCTTGCCTCTGTGGTAGCTTTTGATCAGCACTTACCTCTCTCTCTCTCCCAGTCTGGCCAGTAGCTGCACCTCCTTTTCTCTCCAGGCCTTTACCAGGGCTGCTGATCATCCCCACCTTTCTGATCAGGCCCCATTGACAGGCCCAGAGATGCTGACTGGCATAGAAACCAACCAATCAGAATCAAATCTTAGTGAAGTGTGAAGAACCAATCTGAGTGAAGTGTGAGGAACCTAGGAGGCAGAGCTTTTGATGCTGAATGGCATAGAAACTGGCCAACAGAACCAAATTCGCCAGCAGAGGAGAGCAGTTGGGGACAAGATCAGGCTGGTGAAGAAGGGCAGTAGGGGGCAACCAGGATTACAGGGGAGGGCAGTTGGGGTCAAGATCGGGATGGCAGAAGAGGCAGTTAGGGACAATAAGGCAGGCAGGCAGGTGAGCGCTTAGGAAGCAGCAGTCCCAGACTGTGAGGGGGATGTCTCCTCAAGGGGTCCCCGATTGGAGAGGGTTCAGGCTGGGCTGAGAGAACCCCCCCCCCTTCCTTGCAAGATATTAGTGCACTGAGCCACTAGTATCTCTATAAATATTTATGTATTCCAATAAATACATAAATTCATGTTATTATGCCTCATAGATTGTTTTTATAGATTGCTTTTTTAAATTTATTATTTTTATTCTTTATTGGTTGCCTCTCACATGGGAAATAAGCCTGTAACTGAGGTTCATGTCTTTGACCACAATTGAACATGGGATCCTTTAGTGCACAAGTCAACATTCTATCCACTGAGCCAACCTAGCTAGGACATACAGACTGCTTTTTAAAATAACAATGACAACATGCCATATCAAAACCAGTAAATATTGGTCTAAAATTATAAATAATCATTTTAGGTAACTTATTTTTTACAAATCTAGATTAAGTGTAAGATTTACATAATTTGGTTATATTAATATATTCTGATATATCACAAATTTTTAATATTGGAAATTCAAATGTGTATAATCTTTAATTATACTTTTGTCTCATGTACCTTTTAGTGTTATCAGGAACTCACTGCTCAGAGGAAAAGCTCAGTTCATTTAAATTTATTGTAATTACTTGAGGCCTGGTGCATGAAAATTCATGCATGATAAGGGGTCCCTTAGCCTAGCCTTCCCCCTCTCACAGTGCGGGAGCCCTCAAGAGCAGGAGGCAACCCAGCAATCAAGGGAAGGCAATGCTCCATCACACCTCTACTGCTGCTACTGCTGACAGCACAAGCCTCGGCTAACCCTGGTTACCTGAGCCTCTGGCAGCCCTGGATGGCTGGGCAGCCGCCATCCAAGGTTTGTCTGCTCCTTGGGCTAGCCCTAGGCAACTGGGGGACTCTGGAGGCAGGCACAGCAAGCCTCAGCCGGCTGAGGGGACTGGGCACTGCCATCTTGTGGCTGTGGACGCCATCATCTTTGAGGGTAGGGCATTCAATCAGCATGTTATCTCCTTATTGGCTGTGGGCACCACCATCTTTGTGATGGCATGAGGGTCAATTAGCATGTTCCCTTTTTATTAGATAGGATTATTTTTATTTTTAAAAACTTCTTTATTAAGGTGTTACATATATGTTGTTATTCCTCCATTAGCCTTCCATCCCCCCCACTCATGCCCTCAACCTCCTGTTGTCTGTGTGCATTGGTTAGGCTTATATACAAACATACAAGTCCTTTGGTTGATCTCTGCCATTTACCCCCAACCTCCCCTATCTTCCCTCTGAGGATTGATGGTCTTATCGATGTTTCTCTGTCTCTGGATCTATTTTTATTCATCATTTTATGTTGTTCATTATATTCCATAAATGAGTGATATCATGTGATATTTACCTTTCTCTAACTGGCTTATTTCGCTTAGCATAATGCTCTCCAGTTCCATCCAGGCTGTTGCAAATGGTAAGAACCCCTTCTTTTTTACTGCAATGTAGGTGTACCACAGTTTTAATCCATTCATCTGCTGATAGGCACTAAGGCTGTTTCCAAATCTTAGCTATGGTGAATTGTGCTGCTATGAATATAGGGTTGCATATATCCTTTCCAATCGGTGTTTCTAGTTTCTTGGGATATATTCCTAGAAGTGGAATCACTGGGTCAAATGGGAGTTCCATTTTTAATTTGAGGAAACTCCATACTGTTCTCCACAGTAGCTGCACCAGTCGGCCATTCTAACAACAGGTTCATCATTAGTGGACGGGGAAGGAGCGCGCGACAAGGGCACCTGGTCCGGTCCGGGGGTGGCAGTTTCAGGTGGACCCTTCCCAGTCAACGTCACCTTCCCCTGACCTTCCCCTTACAAGTCCCATACCCCTTCCCCGGACCCTGCCCCTGCCCCCGGAATTCCCCTGACGGCCCCCTGACCCTCCCTCCCCTCCCCTCCCCATCCCCTCCCCCTCCCCTTCCCTTCCTTCCCCTCCCTTCCCTCCTTCCCTTCCTTCCCTTCCCTTCCCTTCCCTTCCCTTCCCTTCCCTTCCCTTCCCTTCCCTTCCCTTCCCTTCCTTTCCCTTTATTTCATTTCATTTCATTTCCATTCCCATTTACCTTTGAAAATATATTTGTTTTCAGAGAGCGACAGAATGCCCCAGGTTTTCCCTTCATTTTTATTTGATGCCAATTTCTCTTCCATGAGTCCTAGCCAATGTTAGTGGCAACCAGGACAATGGATAAACTCTGGCACCAGGAGTGCCTATTAGACATGACCACTGATGGGAGGCATGAAACACCACAGGCTGCTTAAGGTGTGTTAATGGTGGAGCTATTTCAAGTATTGATATTTCCAATGGAGGTATTCTAAATTGTCTTTTTTTACATCATGTTTTACTATAAGAAATTTTCATTTCACCAATATTTTATATCTTTTCTTTCAGATCTGAAATTATAATGTGTATTTTTAAATTCAAAATTATAGGCTTAGAATTACAAAAATATTTAGAAGATTTTTGCCTTTGTACAAAATAAGTTGTACCAGTTTACTTCTGAACTATTTTTTGCTCTTTGATTTATTTTTCAAATTACTACTATCTTTATTATATTTTTAATAATTCTTTAAATAAGTAGAATTAGCCTTTCAAATTTTTTCTTCACTTTTAAATGTGTTTTGGCTACTCTAAGCCCTTTAACATATCCACATAAATTTTAGAATCAGCTTGTTAATTTCTATCAGGAAATCTTATTGAGATTTTGCCGAAATTGTGTTTGACTCAATAGATGAGTTTGGATCAATTGATCTCTTTATAATGGTTAGTTTTCCAGGTCATGAACCGAATATATTTCTTCATTTATTTAGATATCCTTAACTTTCTTATCAATGTTATGAGTTTGCAGTATATAATACTTTTTCCTTTTTATGAATCTTTGCTAGGGGCCCAGTGAACAAAATTAGTGCATTGGAGAGGGCCCTCAGCCCTGCCTGTCCCCTCTCACAGACTGGGAGCCCTCAAGAGATGTCCTACTGACGGCTTAGGCCCTCTCCACACAGGAGGCTGATCAGGGGAAGGCGCCAGACCCATCACCCGGCTACTGCAGCCACTGCCAGCCATCACAACCCCCAACGTGTTTTAATCAACATGGACTTCAGTCCCTTTACCATGAAAAATGACAACATTCTTTAGGCATTTTCAAGAAGTGTCTTTGATAGGATCGGAATTTTTTTTTTTTTAATCTTCACCTGAAGATATGTTTCCATTGATTTTTTAGAGAGTGTGGGAGAGAAAAAGACAGAGAAACATCAGTATGAGAGGGACACTTTAGTTGCCTTCTGCATAAGCTGACTTGTGCCCCTGCCAGGTACATGCCCTTGATCAAAATTGAATCTGGACCCTGTGGCTGGCAGACATAGACATTATCCACTGAGTCAAAGTGGCTAAGGGAAAATATGACATTTCTTAGCCCTCCAGCAGAAGACCTTCACTTTTTCCTCCAGGAGTGTGGTGATAAAACCGTAGATTGCCTTTTTGGATTCTCATTACCCAAGTTACCAAGAACATTACCAGTGGAGCTTAGCCAATGAGTGGTCAGAAAAAGTGTTTCCTCTGCAGCTTATGCACAGAGGCAGGGCTGCTGGCAAACTGAGCTAGAATGTCCCCACCTCTGCCTGCTCAAGCCTCCACTGCAGCTTGAGCAGGGCACTCCCCCAACTCAGCTTAAGCCTCTGCTGCGGCTTGGGCAGGACTACCCCCCCCCACCCCTCCAGCAATTCTCAAGCCTCTGCCATGGCTTGGGCAGGCTTCCTGGCTTCACTCAGGCCCTGCAAGCCTTTGCCATGGCTTTTACAGGGTCTCTACCCCGCCTCGCTCCACTCCTGCCCAGTTCAAGCCTCCACTGTAGCTTGGGCAAGGCCCTCTGGCTCTGATTAAACCTCTGCCTTAGCTTGGGCAGGGTCCCCTGTCTCTGATCAAGCCTGTGCCACAGCTTGGGCAGGGCCCCCATCTTCCCTTTGACTCCACTCAGGCCCTGCTCATGCCTCTTCCGCCAATCTGTGCCAAAGCTGGTAGGCTAGGAGTGGCCTGGTACATTCTGGGACCCCTACAGCTCAGAGCCCACATGCGGGCCTATAGACTTGGAGTAGCCTGGGTCCTGAGGATGTTCCCAGGACCCAGGCCACTGGGTATGCAAATTAATCTGCCATCTTTGGGGTTAATTTGCATACTCCTGATTGGCTGGTGGGCATAGCGGATATACGGTCAATTTTCATCTTTCTCTTTTATTAGTGTAGATTGTTAAAAGTATTACAGATGTCCCCTTTGTTTCATGTTTTTCCTCACTGAACCCCTGCACTTCACAATCACCCCTCCCAGACCTTAACCAGACTATTGCTTTTGTCCATGGGCCATGCATATATGCATATAAGTGCCCCATTAATCATTCTCTACCCATACTTCTGCCTTCCTTCTGAAATCCATAAATTTGTTCCATGCTTTTATGTCTATCTATTTTGTTCATCACTTTTTTATTTTTATTAATCTTCATATGAGTAAAATCATGTGATACTTATTTCTCTGACTGGCTTATTTCACTTAGCATAATACTCTCCAGGTCCATCCATGCTATCTCAAAGGATAAGAGTTCTTTCTTTTGTATAGCTCCATAATATTTCATGGTGTAAATGTACCATAATACTTTTATCCACTCATCTGTGGATGGGCACTTGGGCTGTTTCCAAATCTTAGCCATTTTAAATTGCACTGCTATGTATATAAGGATGCATATATTATTTATGATTAATGTTCCTGGTTTCTTAGGACATACTCCTAGAAGTGGGGTCACTGAGTCAAATGGCAATTCCATTTTTAATTTTCTGATGAAAATCCTTACTGTTTTACACAGTAGCTGCACCAGTTTACATTCCCATCAGCAGTGTACTAGGGTTCCCTTTTCTCCACATCCTCACAAGAACTTGTCATTTGTTGATTTGTTGATTATGGCCATTCTGACAGGCATGAGATGATAACTCATTGTCATTTTAATTTGCATCTCTCAGATAATTAATGACTTCGAATGTTTTTTCATATGTCTCTTGGCCTTCTGTATGTCCCCTTTGGAGTAGTGTCTATTTAGGTCCTTTGCCTATTTTTTAATTGGATTGTTTGTCTTCCTTTTATTAAATTGGATGAGTTCCTTATATATTTTGGAAATTAACCCCTTACACGGTGTATCATTGGCAAATATATTCTGCCATGTAGTGGGCTCATTTTCATTTTATAGATGGTTTGTTTTGGTGTGCAGAAGCTTTTATTTGGATGGCATCTGATTTATTTCTCCTTAGTTTCCTTTGCCCAATGATATATATCCATAAACATATTGTTAAGAGAAATGGCTGATATTTTGCTGCCTATGATTTCTTCTATGATTTTTATAGTTTTAAGACTTGCATTTAAGTCTTTATTAAAGAAACTATCTTTACTCCATTATATGCTCTTGTTTCCTTTGTCAAATATGAATTGAGCTTAATGGCTTAGGTAGATTTATGGGTTCTTTGTTCTGTTCCATTGATCTATATGCCTCTTCTTGTGCCAGTATCAGGCTATCTTGAGTAGTGATTTTATAGTATAAATTTGTATTGTGATCCCTCCAATTTTTTTCAAGATTGTTGTGGTTATTTGGGGTCTTTTTTGGTTTCATATAATTTTTTGAAGTGCTTCTTTCAGATATGTGAAATATTCCATTTGTATTTTAATAGGGATTTCATTGAATCTATAGAGTGCTTTGAGTAGTATGAATATTTTAATGATATTGATTCTACCAATTCATGAACACTTTATATTCTTCCACTTGTTATATTTTCCTCTCTTTTTTCAATGTTCTGTAGTTTTCTGAATATAGGTCTTTTTACCTCCTTTTTAAAGTTCATTCCTATGTATCCTATGTATCTTAATTTTTTTTTGTAATGGTAAATGAGATAATTCTTCCAGAATCTCTTTCTGAGAATTCATTATATATGTATAAAAATGCCATCAATTTCTGGGTATTAATTTTGTATCCTATTATGTTACCAAGTTCATTTTATTAAACTAGTATTTATTGAATGAATAAGGTTTATCTATGTATAATGTCATGTGATCTGCAAATAATGACAGTTATACTTCCTCCTTTACAATTGGATGGCTTTTATATTTTTCCTTGTTTTTATTATTTCTTTCCTTTAGCTTATTCTGGGGTTTTCTTGTTGTTCTCTTTTCAATTCTTTAAGTTGCAGGGTTAAATAGTTTATTATTTATTTTTTATTTTTTGGTTTTTTGAAATAGGTCTGTGATGCTATCAACTTCCTTCTCAGGACTGCTTTTGCTGTGTCTCTAAGATTTGGGGGTTTTGTGTGTTCATTTTCATTTGTTTCAGGATTTTTTTTTCTTCCTTTGTCTCTTAGGTAACCCATTTATTGTCTAACTAGAGGCTCGATGCGCAAAATTTGTATACTCAGGGGGGCATCCTTCAACCTGGACTGTGCCTTCTCACAATTGGAGAGTCCTTGGGGGATGTCTGACTGATGGCTTAGGCTTAAGCCATCAGTCAGACATCCTTAATGCTGCTATGGAGGCAGGAGAGGCTCCCACCACAATACTGAACTTGCCAGCTGTGAACCTAGCTTCTGGCTAAGTGGTGTTACCCCTTATTTTGAATTGTCTATTGTGCTGTTAATATATCCATTCTATTACTGTTTCACATATTTAAAATTTTTATTTTGTTCATTTCTATATATTTCCTGTCTCTCCTTTGCCTTGTGAATGGAATGCAATTATTTTATCTTTGTTAAATTATTTTTTTAAATTCTAAACTTCATGTCATTTCTGAGTCAATTTTGATTGATTTAGCCATTTTATGGGTTATATTTCCCTGTTACTTTATATAAAAGTATTACTAAGTATATGCTTAGTAGTTTTTGAATGGATGGCAGATATCATGAATTTTAATTTTTGGGTGCTTATATTTTTAACTTTTTCCTTAGATGTAGATAATTTATTTAGAAACAGTTTTATTGTTATAGGTCTTGCTTTTAAAAAATTGTTAGATGGAGCTGGAACCATGTTTAATCTGGGACTAGTTGTTCCCTACTACTAAGGGAAGATCCATGTTAATACTCTACCAAATGCACTATGAATAACATGTTTCCAGATCCATGTTAATACTCTTCCAAATGCACTGTGAATAACATGTTTCCAGAGTGGCTGTTGAGGATAAACATGATATGTGGCTGAGGAGTACTATTCTCTAATCCTTTAGTATGGGCCTTTCTGTGGCCTTGGTAGTTTTTCGCATGTATGTACTGATGGATTCTTTTTCTGAATATGCTAAGGAACCCTCGGAAGAGATCTGGGGTTCCTGCTATGTGCAATCATATTCTTTCTGGATCAATATTAGTCCCAGGATTCTCAAAGGGCAGTCACATTTCATGTATTATGTCATGTTTATCTACTGTCGGCCTGAGTGACTGTAGTTAAGTCACTCAGACATCCTCCAATTGAAGATGATTTATCATAGATATTCTCTCAGCTTCCCAGGACAGCTATAGATTAAGAGACACTTTCTGATTTGAAACTGCACTAGTTCCTGGAATATGTGTAGTGAAGTAAGTTGCATTTACGTGTTAAATATGTATATTCATTATGTTTGTCCACAAATGGAAATTTACCCTTTACTTACTTACCAAGTACTTTACAAGTCACAAATGACCATTCATTTCTAATATATTATCATATTGTACTATTGGCTTTGCATTTTTTTTTAAATAGCAAGTTGATGTTAACCAATATATTTTCTTTAATGTTTTAGAAAAAAGCCATTTTAGAGAACAAAAGGGCTTCTAATTTAACAAAAAAGCAAGGATATGGATTCATAAGAAAAGATACAGGAAAAAATACACCTGACTCCAGAGGACATGATGGAATACAGTGTGAGTGCAAGAGCTTTAAAAGTTGATGTGGTTCTGTAGAAAGCACTCTTCTTTGTATTTACATTAAAATTATTTTTTAAATCTTTGCTTACACTTTCTCTACTTGCTCTGTAGCAGGCACAGTTCTAGGCATTTCCCTATTATAGTTCAAGGTGAAAAGTAGACATATATGTAAAATACAAACCAAAATAATCTTATCAAGTGGTTCCATGGACAAGCTTGTCTATACTGCAGTTCTAACCAATTTCCCTATACTAAAGTAATGTATTGTTTGCTACTGAAACTTGAAAAAGTTGTAAGTAATGGTTATTATATACCAATACTAGTGGTCCACTTCATGAAATCCATGCACATTAAAAAGGATTAGAGGAAATTTGTTAATATTGCTATTTGCCCTTTCTCTATAATAGAAGTGTCAGAGATAAAGGAAAATTAGTAAAATGTATATAAAAAAATCTTCCCCTGTCAGAGTCTGGGGCACACCATGGGACCAAGAGTCAAGTCTCTGCCCACCCATGTGCGCCTCGAAATCACACAAGACCCAGACCCAGCCGGCCACAACCCATTGGGACAGATCCAAACCCAGTTGGTCCACCCTTATCAAGCCCTGCCGGGAGGGAGGTGCAGTCTCAGGTCACCTGGCCTGGTGCCAGGTGGGGGGTGCAGCCTCAGGTCCTTTGGCCCAGAGCCAGCAGCGGGCATGGCCTGAGGTCCCCTGTCAAACCCCACAGGATGGAGGGTACACAGCCTCAGGTTCCTACTGTTTGCTCATTAAGGCTCCTTACAGGAACTCAGCCTCCACTGTGGGTGTTATGGAAACCCCGCATCTACTATGCACACAACCATCTTGTTTTATAAAAACCCACCACCTCTGCTGTGGGCGCTGTCATATTTGTGATGGAGTGATGGTCAATTTGCATGTTCTATCTTTATTATATAGGATAGTTTTCTGCTGCTTTGCTAACCATAAAGAATAATAGATAATACCAGAGAAAAACAAAGAGAAGAAAAAAGTGAGGTGTTAGAAAAGAAAGAAAAGTAAGGAAAAATTGAAGGGAAAAAAATGAGATAAAATAAAATTTAAAGGAGGAACATCAGGTCCCAACTTTGCTATGCCTGACCTCTACCAGCTGCCTTTTATTTATAATATTATAAAACTATAGGGGACTTTATCAAATCAATTTAACTAATAATATTAATTAAAATTCCATGGCCAGTATGTAAAAACTCTAGACTTGTTTTAATTATCATGACTGTGTAATATCAGGAAAACATGATCATTTTCCATGCAGTTATCTTCAAAGCACCCGTTCATCCTATATATTCCACTAGTCCTGTTTCTAGATGAGAGCCTACCTATGTCACTCCAGGAAATTACTAACTAATCTCCACTGGCTCTTAATTTAACCTACTTCAAACCCATTTTTTAACTTCTACCTAATGATACTTTCTTTTTTTAACTCTCTTGTGATTATTTTCCTGGCCCTCAAATTTAAAGATCCCCATTACCTCTCATGAAGCTCAGACTTCTTAATAAACCAGCCATTCATCACCATTCATCACATTCACACCACATCTGTTTTACTTTATTTTACATATCTCCTTGAAGAAAGCAGCTATGATCTAAGTGTTACATATATAAACTCTGGAGCCAATCCATCAAGTCCTGCTTAACCGTTTTCCAACCATATGCATGGCTCAGACAAATACCCTCTCTAAGCCACAGTTCCATAATTTTAAAACAAAGATAAACCTATATGATAAAAATCTAAATGCTAAGTGTCCAGTCAGTCATTCAACCAATCAAAGCGTAATATGCTAACAATATGCCTAAGGCTGCTCAACTGCTCACTGAGACATGCACTGACCACCAGGGGTCAGACACTCTGACTGGTAAGTTAGCATCTGCTGGGATCCACCAATCAGGACTGAGGGAGATGGGCTGTACATGCCCTGGAGCCCTCCTGCAGCCCCTCCTCAGCTGGCCAACTTTCTGCATCCCTCCCCAGCACCAATCATGAACTAATGGGGTCCCTTAGCCTGGCCTGCACCCTCTCCCAATCCAGGCTGACAGACACCCCCTCCACCAAATACACAAATTTTGTGCACCAGGCCTCTAGTCTATATACTGTATATAAAAGCCCATTGACCGAAAGACTATGACATGCACTGTGGCAGCCAACAGCTTGATCCAGGCCCTGATTGCCTCCCTTCTCTGTTGGCCTGGCTCCCAATTGGCCCTGCCAGTCTGGTCCTGATTGGACCCCATCAGAGTGGACCTGTTGGCCCCAGCCATGCACCAAGCCTCCATCCCAGTGGTTGGAAAACTGCAGCTTGTGAACCACATGTGGCTCTTTGGCCCCTTAAGTGTGGCTCTTCCACAAAATACCACATGTGGGAGCGCACATACAGTGTGATTGAAACTTCATGGACCATGTGCACAAGTCGGTTTTAGGCTCTCGTCCTGTTGATATTTGGCTCTGTTGATTAATGAGTTTGCCGACCACTGCTCTATCCTATCTAATAAAAAAGGATAAAATGCAAATTATCCATCACTCCCTCACAAAAATGTTGGTGCCCATAGCCACAAGATGGCAGCACCCAGTCCTCTCAGCCCTGCCAGAGTCCCCCAGTCTCAGGCAACCACTGAAAGCGTGCAGTGTGAGCAGCCTGGCGGAACACTTGCTTTGTCACCACAGTAACAAGGCAAGCATTTCGTGCCTGGCCACAAATGGGCCTCTGGCCAGGTCATGCAGACACAAGATGGCCACTACAAAATGGCCAGCACGGGAGGGCAGATGGGGGCTATCAAGCCTGCAGAGGAGGGCAGTTAGGGGTGGCCAGGTCAGCAGAGGAGGGAAGTTGGGGGCAAACAAGCTGGCAGGGGAGTGGTTAGGGGGTGATCAGGCTGGCAAGAAGAAGCAGTTAGGGGCAATTAGGAAGGCAAGCAGATGAGCAATTGGGAGCCAGCAGTCATGGATTGTGAGAGGGAAGTCAGACATCCCTCAAGGGGTCCCAGATTAAAGAGGTTCAGGCTGGGCTGAGGGACACACACCCCCCATACACAAATTTCATGCACCAGGCCTCTAGTTGGCTAATAAAATTATATAGGTTTCAAGTGTACATTTCCATGATACATGATGTGCTCACCACCCAAAGACAACTACAATGAAATACCAGCTCACACCTATTAGAATGGCTATTACTAATATTTAGAATTTTAAAGAAAAATCTTATTTTAAAAATTCTTATTGAAACATCAAGAAAGTTATAGCAGAGAGGTAATTTGGGGAAGATAAGACAGGTAATTCTAAAACAATCCAGGAAATCATATTAAAAGAGAAATGAGAGTTCATCTAAGACATCCAGTTTGCTTTTGACCAAAAGGAGATTAATAGCCATACTCATTTTTTAAAGGCAGTTTGTGACAATAGGGGAATATATAGCAGAATAATATTTTATATTTTTATGGGAGGTAAAAGCTTAAATTTGAAAAAAAAATTTAGTTCTGGGGATAAAAAATAAACATACTTAGGAAGCGCTCGTATCAATTAACTTTTGTTCTTGGAAGAGTTAACTAGTTCTTTTTACCCTAATAACAATGTACAGATGTTACATTGGTGAGACAAACTGCTGCTCCCTTTAGGCATAGTGGCTTCCTTAGAGAATCCTGCTACTTGAACCCAGAAAAATCTGAGGTAAGAGAGACCAGAGAATTGATCAGAGAGACATGACTTTTCACCTCAGTACATGCAAACTACAATTGTTACATCAATAATCTCAAAAACTAAAAAATTACATGCCATTTTTTAGATTTATATTCTGATGCTCCATAAGTGGACTATATCAAATATTTACTAAGCTTCTACTATGTCTCAGGCACAGCAGGGAATGTTAGCATAAGAAAGAAGCTGGCAACTTTTGGTTCTATATAGTATACAAGGAATATATAGTAAGTGATAGTAATCACAAATCATGTAATAAGTGGTATGGTTAATGTAAGCAGAGTGTGGAAGAGAGATGAAAAACAAATCTAAATGTACCACTTCACATCATTTTTAGATTACTGGACTTTTACTTCTACATGAACTACATAAATCAATTTGTAGAAAATTAAATTACAAAATATTTTGTAAAGAAAAATTATAGCTGTACAACTAATGGAAATAACAATAAAAAACTCAGCTATATCAACATCATGGGAAATAATCTGGAAGTCAGATGTTAGAACATGTGAAGGAACATTTACAAATATGAATCTATCTAAGTAGAAGTCTAGAAGGTGATGGGGAAATTGAAACAGTGGTGTTAGCTCTGAGTAACATAATTTTTTTCTTTTATACAATATTCTTTATTTTTTTTTTTAAAATATATACTTTATTGATTTTGTACAGAGAGGAAGGGAGAGAGATAGAGAGTTAGAAACATCGATGAGAGAGAGTCATCGATCAGCTGCCTCTTGCACACCCCCTACTGGGGATATGCCCGCAACCAAGGTACATGCCCTTGACCGGAATCGAACCCGGGACCTTTCAGTCCCCAAGCCGACGCTCTATCCATTGAGCCAAACCGGTTTTGGCTACAATATTCTTTAAATTAAAATAAATAAAATTAAATACCTGTAGAATTAAAATACTCATCATTTATTAGTTGTTTTAATATGAATTTTTAACATTAAAAAATCACTTCTTTTGTATTTCAACATCACAGATTTTCAAGCACGTTTAACCACTGAAATACTTTAAATAATGGTAAATTTAGCAATGTTAGAATTATATAAAAACACATATTTCCAAGCCCTCTCCCCTTTTTATTATATTAAATACATATGAGTAGGAAAATTCTGAAGCATGAATTTCATTTTAATTTTCTGGCTTTCAAAGAAATGCTTAGTTTATCAATTGTATAATCCTTTCACTATAGTAGATTATATAATCATATGATGTGAAAAAATCTATCAGATTCTTTTACACATTTCTAGACTTACAGTCAGATTTTGTCAATTCTATTTAGAATAAACAAAAAGAAAACAGAATTTTAATTCTCTTACAAATATCCATTGAATACTCTGGTTTCTCTTCAGAT